ATTAAAACCGGTTTGATAAAGCTGTATTTATAAGCCAATGGCGACGGTGGCATGGTGATGATGCCATTTATAGTTCGTCAGATTCCTAAATGATAATCTATAATGTGGATTTTATCTCCATTTCTGAACTAGATAAGGAAACCATAATTCTTAATTGACATCTTTGGATTTGTGTATTATCCTTAGCTTCAATGTTGTTCAAGAATCTCAAGAATTCATTGAATCGGGCCCTCAATTGGTCGTAATCAGTTTTATATCGATTAATCATCATGATCCATTCATCATTGTATTCGAATTAAAACCATATAAATTACAAAAACTAGTCTGTATATCAGGACGGTTTCCAATCGAGCACGATTGTTATAGCTCTAGGAAAAACAAGCTTATCTTTCTAGTCATAAATCATATAGAATTTCAGCTCACAAAGAAAAACTCTTTTGGGCCATAGTAGAAGTGAAGCAAGACACGCAGCACTTAACAACCTAGAAGCATGTACTCTTAGGAACCACGCCGATCAGCTTCAGGAAAGTCAGTAGATACTTAAGAAAACGAGGTTATCTACCGGATTATTAGGTGATTACTAGAAGGATATCCCACGCGCGTGTGTTATCGATGTCGGTTTGCCGCCGAGAAGGAAGGAGAAGTGGCCACTGGTATGCGTTTGCGAAGAACTATCCAACAAGAAATTCTTGATTTTGAGGTGTATTAAAATCGAGGACTTTACCGGAGTCGTTTGGCCGGGGAAGGAGTCTGCCTTTCAGTGGAAGAAATAGGGGATGTCTGGTTGTAAGAAAGAAGTGAAGGAAGAAGGATTATGTGGTTTTGAAGCAGAGGCAGAAGTTGCTAGAGTAGATGCATGAAGAGTAAGGCAATAAGGTTGGTCGATGAATTATTTATGGAATGTAATCCAAGAGGCCATGGAGCGTAAAGTAATAACTGTGGACGGTAGAAGGGCTTATTGGGAATGTTTGGCTTTTGTTATGGAAGATTACGAGATGAAGTTTTATTGGAGTGCATCAATGGTGGGGTTAAGAGATACAAAATCTCTTCTTTTACATTCCCATTTGCAATTATTATTATAATTGTTAGACTAGGTTAATATGAGATTTGAATTGGACAGTCTAAATTTATTAGCTATTTTATTTATTTTTCTTTTTCAAAAAATTACGTAAAAATGAATAACAAAGTGGTTTATTTAATTAACAAAATTTTGTTACAATTTTTATTAGTTAACATTATACTCAAGAAAAAGGAGAATATTTTAGATTATTAGCAGATATTTGTTAACACGTGAATTCATTAATATATGGTTTGAACCTCGTTGAACGATGGAATTTTTACATAACGTTTGAACTGTGATAGCAAGTTAAATCCATATAATATGCGCTACTTCAAGTGATATACGTATCGTTAGAAAAATATGCTACTAAAAAGTAATAATTATTAGATACTATATAAGCAAATGGTGAAATTGCGCATAAGAATTGCTTCCTTTTATATGGATGAATAAATAGAACATAAAAGTATAAATTAGCTTAATAAATAAAACTGAAATTTAAAGATTATTAAACAATCACATTAACACAATTCTTATAAAAAGGGGCTACAGGACTTTTCCTATTTTATTAAATCCACAACCTATCTTACAGATAATTGGGAAACATAATTAATTTTAGGTCGGAAGTGTGAAAAAAAGGGAAAAATGATAGATAAGTAAAAAAAAAAAAGATACAATAGATAAAACCTAATTGCATAGCTTCGCGAGCAATTCCTAAGCGAGATTATGCGCACATCAAACAAGATCTAAGCTTCTGTTGTTGCATAATTGGCTATAAGCATTAAGCACTGAGATTCACATTAATTTGGCGTGCCGAGCCATAGCCAAGCAAGCAGCTGAGCCTGCACTGCTATGTATTAAGCTGTTCCATTAGGCAAAAAAAACCAAATTTAGGCCTGTTGTGAAATGTGAGTTTTATGGCTGGAGCTAATGCTTCATTTGTTGCTGTAAAACACGCTATCAAAATGCCTCCTAAAGACGGAAATGGGGCCCTTTCACTTGTTTCCGTTAAACTCAGCCCTGATGCTGTATAAATGCGGCTCAATGAATCGGGTTATAACCGTACCTGAATCAATTAATGGTTCCAGCTCCCGTATTCGGGTCAAATTTTTAGAAGGCTCTGGGGCAATGTGTACATAACCCCGGCCTACGCCTAACTCCGGTTAGTTTACGTAGTATAATTGATGGCCGGTGTGGGTTTCGTAGGAAGAAGTGGTGTGTTCTAATGGCCCATGGGCTGACCCACTGGGACCGATTTGACGTGAACCGAGAAGTAAGTAGGATCTTGAAACTGGGTAAACAATATGAAATACACCCGAATAAGGGAAAACTTGATTGAGAAAAGAAGTGATGATAAGGATCCACGGGGGCCCCAAACCAATAAACCTTTGAGGAGGAAAACTGACCCACCCGAGGCACAGAGTTTATGCATCAAAAAGAAAATCTGGGGACTACATCCTTGGCTAATGATAAACGAATTCTTTGCACTAGTGCATGTGCTGTAAAGGATGAATCTCCACCGTAGGATGGTGAAAAAGGCAGTAAGAGGTTTCCGGTATTCCGGCATGAAAAATCCACGGACTTTGGGTACATATGCGGCCATGGAGCAATCCATGACCCGTAAGTAGCAAGAGATTATTTGTAATGTGTGGTGGAAAGGAGAAACCAGTTGCAACCGGAGCAGGTACCCAAGCAGCATCATTACTAGTGTCTAAGGACCATATTCATAACTTACCCGGACCAGTACCATTTAACCCGAACCACATAGTTACCCAATGTTTAGAACTTGTTGACCTGGAAGCAATAGGTACAGCGGTGTATTGGGGGCTGGAGACTTGACAAGTACTTTAGCCGTTGTGTGGTCTTTTAGTGGCCATGTTAATGACTGCTTATTAAGCAATTGATCTCCTGCTTATGTGTAAAAGGTGAGCATTTGCTTAGTGGCGTATAATGGAAAGATCCGATCATCTGTTTTAGAGCACATGAGTCAACAAGAGCTCTTGTGCTTGAATCAGAAGAGCAGATAAGAGGAAATCTGGTAAAAAGTTGCAGGAGTCCATAGGTTGGAGTGGACTTCTCCAATTTGCGGAAAAAGGGCTCTTGCTTTGCTTAGTTATTGCAATTGTGTATGTGCTTGGGACATTATCATATACGAAGACGAAGGCATATAAAAATTTACTTAAATACCCCTTCGATTATTGCTTGGGGTTTTTCGAACATACATGACATGGTTTATCTTGCATGCAAGATTTAGAACGTTGTTGGGGTCCACTTAGATTTCAGAACGACACTTAGAAAAGCCGTATTATCCCATATATCGAGATGGCGCTATAAAAAAAAAAAAAAAAAAAAAAAAAAAAAAAAAAAAATCCAACTTGCAAATTGCAAATGAAAAACAGACAGAAATATGCTCTTTTTAAGGCCCAGAAAATTTAGAAAAGGACAATGCTTATTATATTTGCTCGATAAAGAATGTTGTTGTCTTGTTAAATCTCTACAGTGATTCTTGAAATTATTATTATATTGTACTACAAATTTTGACCTTTTAAAATGCTATAAGATTTCAAAATATATAATGGTGTATTTAAATTATGGGTTCAATTGTTTAATCTTATAGGAAGCTTTAAGCTTTCAAAATATATCCAAAAAAAAAAAAAAAAAAAAAAAAAAAAAAAAAAAAAAAAAAGAAGAAAACGTTTTAATGAAGGGTAAAATGGGAATGGGAGATGCGAAGGAAAGCTTGTGAATTGTGAACCCATCTGTCTGTCTGATAAATGCTTAAAAAAAAAAAAAACTGAACTGTGGGCGTAGATGGGCCAACGCACGAGATGCGGTCGGTCACGGGCATAAACAGAGACTTTTCCATGACGTATGGGTCCATCAGTATCTTCCTCATCCATCCTTTTTCTTATCATTCCTCAAATACAACAAAACCTTTTTCCGTAACTTTGCCACGTGACTTCAATTGGCTAGAAAATATCTATTAAGATTTAAGAGATTCACAAACGCCAACTACTGTCAGTCACCCACATTTCAGTTCACTCTGCAAATCAATGGTTCTTTGGTTGGTACTCGGTAGTAAAGTTAAAAAGATGATAACAATTGAGCTGTGGTTCAGTTTATTTCCGAAACCGTAAACTTGTAAATTTAAATCTTAGTCGGACAGAATGAACTGAAAAAGGACGCAATTTTATGCAACCAATTTTGAAATAATTAATGATTTAAAGTTAGAATTCCTAATCAGTAATCATAGGCCGTTTACCATAATAATGACTAGTTTGCACTAGTAATATTCTACTATATTTAAACATGTGTTAAGATTAAATTTAATTTATTTGAATCTTCATTTCATTGTATATTATTGTGAAGGAAACTAAATGATTTTTTATCCTTTCCAAAGACAAAAAAAATCATATCTATCTATTCTCAATGGTCATTCCGCACTTTAATCTTGAAAAGGACTCAAAAGTAAACACACAAATAAGCCCTAATCAACCACTCAGTGATTTTAGCAAAAGCTAATACCCCACAAAAGTCACGAGGTCTCACTGTCCAAATTATTATCAGCTTGTGTACAGAAGCGGAATGCTGTGAAATCCATCCATTCTCTGCCTATCTGTAATCCAGCATTTCAAAAGCAAATAGTCTTGGGACTCTGGTACATTATTTTAAGCCAATGCAGTACCAAATTACACACACACACAAAAAAAAAAAAAAAACACAAAAAAAAAAAAAAAATGATTTTTCAATGCGCAATTTTGCGTTATGATTGTCTCATCCTTCCTCACCTGCTAATTGCTCTCCTTCGCCATTACCACTATTAAAAAAAAAAAAAAAAATGATTTTCATGCGCAATTTTCGTTATTTGTCTCATCCTTCCTCACCATGCTAATTGCTCTTCCTTCGCCATACACTATTAGATGGCAATAAACCAAATCATAAGGAGTCTTAAAATGTTTGTTTTGTTATATCTCACCAAACTATAAGTCAAAAAGCATCAAAACTAAAATCCAATAAAAAAAAATCCCACCAGATTTAATAAATGAATACACAAACAAATACAACAAATTTATATATACACATACACACATGAGCAACAGCACAAACAGGGATAATTTTCACACATAAGTTTTCCCCCCAGATTCACTCACAAAATACATAAGAGGGATGGCTAGGCAGAGCTGGACGCAAGTAACATAAACTGCATCTCCAATATCTCCATATTCAACTAGAAGACCGCATTTGTCAAGGATGGGCAAAGCACTTCATAACTACTGCATGATTTGAACAGAATTACAGAAGACAAAAAGTAGAACTCAAGTTAAAATCTTACCAGTAAATAAAATTTATGAAGTTTATGGAATTACATGCAAAGATTTCCATTATATAAATGATAAGAAAATATTTCGAATATAGAGTGGTCCACTAATTTGCTGAAGTTGTTGAAGATCTATGGAACATTGCTTGTTCATAAAATATTTATCATAATAGTAATCTTGAGAATAAAACAACACTTAGCATCACATTCTTGTAACTGTCAATCAGAGCATAATGTTATGAACCCTATAGGTCCAAAGAAATTCAATTCAAGCAAAATACAAATCCAAGAATTTGCAAAGGTACTATTCTGAATGAAATCATGAGTGAATTCACGAGTGAATTCTTTACTCTCAAAACTAAATTTTGTTCTTCCATATTTCAAAAGTTTCTTAAGCTTCTCCAGTAACAACAATCTTTTTAACACGTTCCATATGGCTTCTGCAAATATTAGACCTGTTCCGTAAATTCTTAACATGTTTCCCTAAACTTAACTGAATTTAAAACTCTTTGGATCCTTGGGCCAATTTTAGATTTCTGACAAACTGCTGACTATAGGGTTACATGAGTATCTTTGTTGCAACTAAATTTAAACACTGCTTAATTTTGCATGAGAAATTTAAAGTTAGCAGAAACAATTAAAATAAGTGTTAACTTCGTTAACATTTCCAAAAGCAACCCAGAGAAAGGAGGTGAAAAAGAAAAGGCTCCCCAGAGCGCAATAGGTTGTGCATTATGTTTGGCACCATTAAAACATACTAGACTTTATCATCAAAAGAGGGTAATAAGAAGAGGGGTTTGGCACTGTTAAACCATAGCAGACTTTATTAGTACTTTTACTTTTGCAGAAAAATAGACATCCAACACCTAACTCTTAAAGTGATGATTAGGAAAACCTAGGATTCTTAAACAAGGCACTGACTATGCAGATTATAATAGAAAATCGGACATGAAATGAACAATAAAGTAAACTAGTTGAATTTAAAATCCACATTATGAACACATTAGTCCAACAACTTAATTGCCTCACAGACAATGGAAAATTTCTGATTGGTAACAACAATTAAATTTGTCTTAGAGCACATAATATGGAAGCCTAGACATGACAATAAAACAAAGAAATTTTCAAAGCTAAATTTATCAATAGCACTTCAAAATGGCATTACGTAAAGAAAAACAATAAATTTGTCAGATGTATCATAACAAGTGGCAGGCAAAGAAAATAGCAAGTGGCAGGCAAAGGATGCACCTTGGAGCACATTCTTGGAAGTTACAAAATATTGGCTAATTATATCATAACATGGAATTAATCTACACAAAAGAATAGCAAAAACAATAATTTTATGGAAGGCTAATAGATGATAACTTGAAGAATTAAAGACATGAGTTGCTTCCAGAAGTGCTCAAATTAACAAACATACCTCTTTTAGGTTATGAATCTTACACTGAAGTGTCTTTGCCCTTGACTATAACGACTGGACATTGTGCATGGTTGGTGCAATAGTTGCTTACACTTCCCAAGAACATCCTGTTAAAATTATGCATTTCATCACAGTTAGGATACTAAAGAACCACATTGACATATTAATCACATTTTTATGTTCAGTTATTGATGTCAATTGGATTAAGTTTGCTTGCCAAAGGCCTAGCAAACTTCAAATGCACATCTAAGTTTGGGGGAAATTAAATCTAGCAACAAAAGGCAAAGTAGTAAAACCATCTAAAAAAATTCAGAAAACTAAACAAAAAGTAAGCCAAACTCAAGTGAAAAAGTAAAACAACATCAAAAGTTCTAATAGCATTTTATGGTAAGGGAAATGTTTCTTGAGCATCTGAAGTGCTCCTCCAAGGACCCTTAGCTTTATCATAAAATCATTGCATAAAGCATAGCAACTTCCTATCACATTTTCTCTGTGCAAAAATAATCGCTACCTAAAATAACTCAGCCGCAGCACATAGCATAACATAGAGTAAAAAGAGATTACCCAGCAAATATTTGTCCATACATGTAAGTTTCATGATCTTTCATTAAAATATCTCTTGTTCATCTATGCCCTCATTATAACTGCTATTTCGAGCAGTCTAGCCCTTTTCCATCGAGGGATGGAATTTCCAAATCAAATCACTTTTAGATTTGTCATTCTTAGATTCATTTGTCATCCTGTGAGCTACCATCTCTGACATTTGCACCATGGCTAACAGGAAAGAAAACTAATTGCTAATTGCAATATTTACATTTGTAATGGTGAAATTTCACCTCATATGTGCATTAATAACAACTACAGTTGAAAAGATGCAAAAACTCTTCATTCATCTAACATCACACGGCCAAACAGAATATTATGAACCCAACGACTGAGAACACCTGCAGATGATAATTCAGATATTGAAAATAATCCAAGGATGCTTTGTAAATCAACATCCTTTGAGATAACATCAGTTTATCACTTGAACAGGATTATTGTCCCTGTCTTTACTCATTGGAAAAACTACTGGCTAATTGTTGGCATAAACACTGCGAACATCATTTTGTCCAAATAAAATATTATTACTTCTGAGTTCTGACTTTGAACTTCGATTCAAACAAAGCAAAAATTCTTAGCATTTCAAAATAGAAGATCCAAGTAGTAGGTACTTTGGTCTCTATCGCCCTATGTATATAGAAAAGTTACCATGCAGTCCTAAATCTGAAGTTCTTTAGCTAAAACACTTTTGGCAGAGGTAGCTCTTCTTATTGGCTTACCAAAATGAAGTAATTCTGGATGGATATTGCTAATGCCCTTAATTTTTATGATGATGATGATGCATGGTTATGCAGTTCAATTACTTTGTAATGGATATACATAGCCCTAATAAATAACCTTAAGCTATAGCTATAAAGCAAATACCATATTGTAAATTTTAGCTTCCTGTAAAATTCTTTCCAGTATGTTGGCACATAATCAAATAGCACAACTAGTTGACAATGGAAAATAGCAAATTTAAGGAGCACCCTAACCGGCAACTGCACAAAGGAAGCAGTAATATTGATTAAACTCCAACTACACAACTAATCTTTTGGGATCTGTTTTTACCCTGCTATTACAGCTACTTATGACAGGAGCACCCTTTCGGATGCATTGTTTATAGCAAGCATTATGGACTAAGATGGAAATGCATCACAAAAGCATCCAAAAATTGCTTTATGTCAAAACTTTGAACGGCATGTTTTATAATATGGACAATAACCGAAACAAACAGTTCCGAAAACTATTCAATCTCCTCATTGTTTAATATGTCAAGAAAAAAATCATTTTACTTCCCATCAAATTACTGCACAAGGATACTAACCATGTTCATCATCAAAGCTGATATTGAATAAAGCATGCTCTATACAAGATTGAGTCTAAATAATAATCATGCAAATTGTTCAAACAATGAGAATCATCAAACCATTTCCTTGACTTTTCAAAGCTGTTTGACTTTTCAAAACTTAAAAAACAAGAATCCAACATGATTACATCAAATATTATTCTACCACTCCAAATACTTGCAATGAACCAAAATTTTCTCTTTGTATAATACCTTTTAATAGGGCCATAAGAACGACACCCCATCACAAGCAAATCAGCACCTGAATTCTCAACAGCTTCGCAAATCTTCTCCTTTGGATCCCCAACAACCACTTGCGTTTTAACATTCGCCTAAACAAAAATTAAGTTCCAATAAAATAATTGATAACTATTTACCATAAAATTGATATCCTAAATTGACTGGTACACTAAAACAAGTAAATCGGTTTCAAAAAGGAAAAAAGCCCTCACGTTTTTTTCGCTGCAAATCTGCAAAGCATGCTCTAAAACAGCTTCGGTGATCCGCTTCTGATGCGCCTCAATCGCCGCCGTAAAGGCAGGCACCTCCAAATCAGCTATTAAATTCCAAAAAAAAAAAAAATCAAACTAATCAATTAGTAATTAGCTTTAACTCAAGAAAATCAAATCAAAACCATGAACAGATTCAGTATCGACTGAAATAAGCACTAGTAACTTTGGTATGGATAGTGGACACTTAACTGGGTCCACCGAACGGAATAGCGCCGGGATTGAGACCAGCAGCAATTGACGGTGGAGATTGGACATGGAGTATCAGGAAGTAGCCAGCGGTTTCAGTGGAGTCGGGCGCAGAAGATCGAAGCTTGAGGTTGTCGAGCGCCCATCTCAAGGCGTACATGCTCTCCTCGCTGCCGTCGACGGCCACGATCACGCAGCCAAGCTTTTCCGTCGTCATGATTGATTGATTGTCGATCTTGAGTCAGGTGATGTTGACTTTGGAGTATTCGTTTCGAGATTAGCATATTAGAGAACGGAACTGTAGACAAAAAGAGAAATTTCGTAACGGAACGAGAGCTAACGACTATTCGAGAGCGCCAGTGGGGAGCTGCATGGGTCGACCGGGTTGGTTTTAGGTGACTTGTGGGCCGGCGGTCCAAATCTCCACAGGCCGAATAACGCCACTGCATTTTTGTCTAACCTTGTGTTTTGTTTTGGTTCTGATTTTCATTGCAACTTTTACATATATTTCAAAAAGAAAATTCTTCTTTACATAAATAGAAAGTTGTAGCAAAAAATAAATTATTTAATAATTTACCCAAATTGTTGGTAAGCTACTCAAAATTCAGTTGATAAAAAAAAAAAAAAAAAAATGGTTCTGATTTTCATTGGCAACTTTTACATATATTTCAAAAAGAAAATTTTCTTACATAAATAGAAAGTTGTAAGCAAAAAATTAAAATTATTTAATAATTTACCAAATTTGTTGGTAAGCTACTCAAAATTCAGTTTGAATAAAAAAAAAAAAAAAAAAGCTCATTTAAAAAAAAAAAAAAAAAAAAAAGCTCATTTACATTCATTTGGTAAATTTAAAAAACCAAGCTTGAAATTATTTATCAAATACAATTAAACTGATAAATTGTAATTAAAATGCAATAGTTTTTAGGTATGTGTTTGCTATTTCGAAAATGAAAAAAGAAAAAACAGAGAGAGACGGCAGAAACAGGTTGTGGTTTTCAGTTTTCACAGGTTGCCATTTGCCAACGCCACACTGTGATATGCGTTTTGGACTATTGGGTCAGAGCATCAAATCAGAATCCAGTTTTTGCACCTATGCCTATTATAATAGTATCATCTCCGGAAACGAATCACCGTCTCGTCTAAGACTGACCTAGTTGAATTATGAGTTTTTTTTTTAAATATAAAAAATAATTTAAGACAATATATAGTTTAAAAATTAAAAAATGTTGACTGGCAGCAGAAGCACGTCAATTGTTTAGGAAAATATATTGCATGAACAGCTAAACATTTTCTTTTGGCCCCTCGCAAGGAAATTGTTCTATTTACTATTTAGTGACTTCTTATACAAGTGAAGGGTCACTGTAATTTGATTAATTAATGAGTGCAATTAGCACTTAAATATAAATCCATTTGCTGACATGATAATATAAATAAATTTTTTCCAAAAATAAATAAATACTGGTATTGCAATTTCCTTGTGAATTTTGGTTCTTGGGACGAGAGGTGATTTACCCTCATGTAATAAATAACCAATTTGCATTGCCATTACTGCAATGAAAAATATCATGCATACAAAAAAGTCCACTTTTTTTTTAAAATTTATACTACATATAAATCTATACCGTGGAAATAGACTGTATATAATGAAATTTTTGATAATACATTTGATAAAATTTAAGATATTTTAAAATAATTTTAATATCGTAAACAAAAAAATTATTACTTCAAATTAGCAATACATTAATTAATAATTACTCTAATGTAGGACCTAAAATTCCAATTTGCTAGCCCAAGGAAATAGAAAAAGGATGACATACTTTTTGGAGGCTCAACCTAAGATACCACCAACTAAGAAAATAATTTCCTGCTTTTTTGCATCTATGTATGATGGTTTTCGACTGTGCAAAAGTCACTGTAGATAAAGCTACCGTTACCAATATCAATTTCAAGCCACGTGCAACAAATCTTTTTTTTTTCCCCAATTTTGAAAAATCTTATTTTCAAAAGTGTGATTGGCCAACTATTCATGATGGTTTTCGACTGTGCAAAAGTCACTGTAGATAAAGCTACCGTTACCAATATCAATTTCAAGCCACGTGCAACAAATCTTTTTTTTTTCCCCAATTTTGAAAAATCTTATTTTCAAAAGTGTGATTGGCCAACTATTCAAACCAAGTGCTTGACTATTTTTTTTTTTCCCCAATTTTGAAAAATCTCATTTTCAAAAGTGTGATTGGCCAACTATTCTCTTCAATAATTTCATTTGCATTAATTGTAAAAGTCATTTGTGTATCATTTCTTATGTTGTAAGTTGTAGATATTGTGCATTTATATTTCTTTGCGTGTATTTGACTATTTTTGCAACATGCTTGATAACTCGAGATTTTGAAATTATTCATTAATTTACAAGTCAATTACATTCAATACCTAAATTAGAGAAGTTTGGTAAGAATTTAAATCAACAGTTAATAGCCGACAGAAATTTAAATCAATTGCTTATAACATTCTAGAGCTACTAACCCATTTCTAGTTATATTATATTTGAACCGTATTAATTTTATAAAAATAGTTACAATTATTTTTTTACATTAATATTAATATTTTTAATAATTAATATTTTGGAGGTAATAACTTTTTTCTTCAACGCTGATTCAATAAATTAGTGAAAACTCATATGATTAAGAGATTTCAATTCAGAACATCTCAATTTTCACATAAATGAAAAAATCAATTAGATCATATCTAATTGACAACTTACTAACAGCTTTAATCAATTACTAGACAAAATACAAAGAATTTCAAAAACTTTGTTATTTTTATATAGGTTGTATATTCGATGCAAGATATTTAAAAAATTATACTTGCCAAAAAGTAATTATTTTATTTAAGTAATTTATATAGAAAAAAAGTGTTTTAATTTTAATCTCAAAAATACTCGCCAATATATATATCTAAAAAAATGTAACACGGGTCTAACTAGCAGCATGCAAATGGAGACCTAAAAAAAAAAATATGTCACCGTCAATGCTTTAGAAAAATTGTTTCCAACTTTTGACTCTTTGATTCTTTGTATCGTCCACACCAATTTTTCATTAGTTTACTTGGTCAACTTATTTAATTAAATCATCAAATTTATATTATTAATAATTACCGACACAAGCCCAGCTAAATGAAAAAATTAAGTTTCCAAACTAAGTTATTATTTTATTATGAGAATGAAGGTAGTTATCCACTTAAATTTGTTATCACCGCCCTTCATTATCAAAACCCTGTTGATGGGATAGAGATAAGATTTCCATTTACCCCTTGCTTACCTAGGAAGGGGAAAAGAACTTGATTGAGGGGGGGTTTGTGACTTTGTGGGGTAGAAAATTTCTACCAGATGGAGCCCACTTGATACTCGAAAACAGCTTATCCTACTAAATCATGTACTTACGATTAATCTCAGCCGTTGAATATCATACCAAGCCAAAAACCTTGCTCTCCTCCCAAAGCATCCCTCCACCATCACATGCCTCCACAGGCAACCGTCCAATTAGGTGTCTTTCATAAGATTAGAATAGAATATTTGCAACCAAATAAAAAATCAACTAACATAGAAAGAGAAAGAAAACCCAATGTCCTATAAATAATTGAGTTTACATCGTACATATTACATAACCTGAATATAAAAATACACTCCCTCTAAAAATAAAAATAAAAATAAAAATATACTTTCAATCTTTTTTACTATACAAATATAATTGTAATTTAGTTTTTTTATTATTAAAATTTAAATTATTTTTAATAAATCACACAGGATTTAATTGATACTTTTATTTTTAATAAAATATAAAACTTAAAAAATCTCAATTTAAGTCCTTTTGACAATAAAACTTTCCCTAATTAGTGATTTTCCCTCTTAATTTTGTTTGAGCAATTATTTTATTTTTTAAGTTAAAAAAATAAAATAGTGATTCTTTTAGAGGGTTTAGAATTCACTCTATAATTTTGACTTATAAATTAACCATTGTCCGAACAAAATAATTATTTTATTTCAACAAAAAAACAAAATAATTATTTAAATATTAAATAATTTAATAAATATTTCTCACACTCGTGGAATTTGATCGTGGTACAGCGAAAGATTGTAGCCTGCAGTGTTATTTTAGATTACATTATAGCCTGTAGTATTATTTCAGACAATAAAAATTTCAAATCAATTAAAACAAAATTTGATCTCTAAAAATAGAAAAAGAAAACAAGCCGTCCGGTTGGACCGGAACTAGAGTGGGGCCAGCGGTCCGAATATTTGATGAGCAAAGAATTCACGCTTCTCGATGCCTGAAAACAAAATTCCTTTCCCTCGACCATAAAATTTCTTTAGTTTAATAATAAAAAATCATTGTTTTAAAATCAAATTAAACAACTCAATTTATATTTTCCGCATCTAAATTCTCCCTCCCTTCTTCTTTCTCTCTAAAATGACAAAATAACAGAGCCCTAAAATCTCGATCTGGTGGTTGTCCAAAAATCGACGAGCTCACAGTAATAGCGAACACAAGCTCAGTTAAAAGGAAAAAAGAAAAATATTCCTCAACACCTAGCGAAAACGACATTTCTTTTGTCAATTATCTTCAATCGTAGCCGTCGGAAGTGCGATATTATTTCTTGTATTCCGATCTTGAGGGCCTTGCCTGTGCAGTCGTCAGAATAAGCCTCACCGCTGCTGGAAACTGCCTCACTTATGTGTGGGGGTGATATTAGGAGGTCAGGGATCGTAAATTTTGCTGGATGCGTGTTAGGTGCGGGTGGATAAATGCATGTTACCGGGGATCTAGGGTTTTCGAGCCTGGTCCTTCTGCTTTGTGTGGTTTTTCCGGTGATCGGCTTTGTAATTCGTCGGAAATGGCGGCTTTCCATAGCCAGGCAAGAGGAGATCAAGCGTTTATTGATTTTGGCTTCGGAGGAGGCCGCTAGGGCTGAGCTTGAGGCTACTGTTTCCTATGTGGCCGTTTCTGCTTCAAAAAATAACTATCAGTGTGCCGTTTGTTATTCTCCTACCACCACAAGGTGTTCCCGGTGTAAAACTGTCAGATATTGGTACGTTATTTTTACAATTACAGGTTGAATTATTATTATTATTATTATTATTATTATTATTATTATTTTATAATTTTAAGTTTAGTTTAGTGTTTGATATTTAGGATTTATCCTCTGGATATGTAGAAATTGAGACATTTTTTGGACATAGATTGGAAGCTGGATTTACTATTCCCGCATTTGCTTATAATGTGTGTTTGAATGTTATGTTGGTAGTTAAACTGAATTTTGCTTGTTTGAGGAGATGATTTCTTAATATTCTGATTGTTATTTTCCATTTGTTTGAGGTAAAGTGGGAGAATAGTAGGAAAATAATCAAGTTCTACAACTGGATGGGCTGTGATTTTAGAGGCTTTCAAAGAAATTCATTGCTTGTTAACTGTGATAATCTCATATATGTTTTTCATTTTGGCCAATGCTGTCATATGGATAAATGGTTTATAAGTAGCAAAGAGATGCGGGGATGTAATTTGTTACTCAGCAGACTTGTGGTTTTGTGTGGGCTGTAAGACCTCTTTGCCACTTATTTAAACCCTAAGCAATGTGAAATCTTCGGATTCTGATGGTATCCTGTTTATCTGAATAAGCAAGAAGCAGTCTAACACATGGATTAAGATTACAATAATATTTGTTAATGAAAATATGAAATTATTCTCTGTGTTTTCTAATATATGTATTCTTATTTTTCTCACCTTCAAATCAATAAAATTTTTTTCCCTCCAATTTGTGATTGTAGTTTTTGTTGCCTTTGTTTTCCATTATTTAGTTGTATGTTTATGATATAATTTGATTTTTTTTTTCAGTTCTGGAAAGTGTCAAATAATACACTGGCGACAAGGTCACAAGGAAGAATGCTGTCCTCCGAGCACCACTTATCATGTTAATGATGACGGAGGCAATTCTTCTCAGAAGCTGGCAAAACGAAGTCAACGTGTTATTTATGACATAGTTGGAAATGAATCAATTGAGACATCATCTGATGGACCTGTATTATCTAATTCTAGTAGCACTACTGCAGTTCCACTTGTAAATGCTGATTATGTTAAGGTTGATTTTGTTGTAGATACAGGGGATTCATCTTCTTCTGAATCATCAAGCACCTCCTTTTCTGGTTTCTCCACTTCTCCAACCGGTGGTGAATCATCTGATAACGTTTCTGTTGGTGAGAGTATCAGTTCTAATGAACCTGAGGGATTAGATAGAACAACAGCTCTTGATACCGCCCCTAACGTACTTGAGCCTGTTTTAAACAAGGCAGAGGAAACTGAGCCTGTGTCTCCAAAGTTTGCAAGTTTAGCTGATTCTGTTGATAGTTTTAATAAATGTAGCGAATCAAATATATCTCGCTGCAATGATGGAGAGATGCAGCATGTACCCACTGGTTGTTCAAGTCAGAGTATCAGTGCCATGCGCAAGGGTTCAAATACTCAGTCTAGTAAAGTTTCTTCTGGTTTTTGGGATAGAACTCTCAAGCCTGTTGTGTCCAGCAATGTTGCTCAAGATGATCCAAATCTGCCCAGTTCCAGTGCAGCTGCTAACATGAAGTTATCTGATTCTGAGTCATTCCTACATTTTAAGTTTGATTTATCTAGTAATAGAGTTTCTTCTTTAAATCTTCAAACCTCAGAGGTGAAAGGCACCATGTCCGGTGATGCACATCCATCTCCTTTGGGGACTAGCAGGCCTGTTGATGGGGCATCTTTATCAAAAAACACTAGTTATGATACATTGAGGATAAAGAGTTCCAAAACTATGAGCCTTGAGAAGTCTAGTCATATAGATAACAGATCAGGTTATGGTTCCAATGTGTCAAAGCTGAGTGAGGTAAAATCTGTGTCATCATCCTCTTCACATGCTCATTTACCTTTGAACAATGGAGAATTATCACATGTGGTTGATTCAAAATCCAATGGTTATAAATCTCCATCCTCAAGCCTGAACGGATTAAATATTATTAACAATGATACTGTTAGTGATTCACATGTTTCTAAGTCCAGAGATTCATCTAGTGCTTCTCAAATCCATTTGGCTTCTAGTGCCAATGAGCATTCATTTCCGAGTGTGAAATCTGGAAAAGTGGACAATGTTGAAACCGATGCTATAGCTGCTTCTCCAGGCTCAGCTAGTGGACTAAAATCATCTATGTGGAAAGTTGTTGACCAACTTAGAGGACCTAAATATGCAAAATACAGTGATAAGGTTTGTTTTTAAATTTTTTTTTTTTTATTTGCTTACATCTAGTTTTCTTATTCTAGGCATTTGAATTTTACTTTAATTTATTTTTGTTTTTGTTGTTTAGGGGCTTTTTTCATACAATCTATTTGTAAAGCTATATACTTCAAGCAAGGTGGAAATGAAACCTTGTGGCCTTGTCAATTGTGGAAACAGGTATATCAAACACATTTTGACGATATAAAGAATATTTAAATAACTGAACAATATAGTATTTAGTTGATAAAATTTGTGTTTCCATCAATTTTTAAGCAACATAGACCATCTTTATATATTAGGATGTTATTATAAATGATACTGGGAATATATCTCCTTCCATTCTTCAGTGTACAATTTGCATGATTATTACTGTTTATGGTCTAAGGGACATCTAGAGTAAACATGTAGATACATGTTTTTCTGTTTGTTTCTCACTGCATTTTTGCATAAATCATTTCAGTGCTTACTTCCTTCTGCTTTTTCTTTGAATAGCTTGATTGGAAACCATTTCGATATTAAATATGTGATTGAGTAAAAAAAAAAAAAAAAAAAATTACTCCTCTGCTTTTTCTTTGAATGCTTGATTGAAACCATTTCGATATTGAAATATGTGATTGAGTAAAAAAAAAAAAAAAAAAGTGTGCTAATCTTCCTAGTTATGCTTGCCTTGAAACATTGAAGAATACAGTGCCAAACATTATCTCAAAAAAAAAAAAAAAAAAAAAAGTGTGCTAATCTCTCCTAGTTATGCTGCCTGAACATTGAGAATCACAGTGCTAACATTATGCTCATTATGATCTCGCATAGTCAACACAACCAATATCTTGCCAGCAACACCTGACCATCTATACATCACTTGAAGATTTTGTATTTTGCTTGAGATAATGCTACCAGATAGGACTGGTGTGATGTCACCAGATACATTGTAAAACAATACCATTCCGGCCAAGATATATACTGCATGTTACAATTTTACTCGTGTACATTGTTTTATGGGCTGAAAACATTAGGTCAGGAAGAGCTCTTACATTTTTGCAAGAAAAACAGTTCCACTTTTCTGTCTTATCTTTGGCCTCTTCTCATTGAGGTTATTTTTTAATTAAATTTACTTGAACTTTTTACAACTTATATGCCATTGTATTTTTGCAGCTGTTATGCAAATGCTGTTCTTCAATGCTTGGCATTTACTCCTCCCCTGACAGCTTACTTTGTTCAAGGACTCCATGCTAAAGAATGTATGTTTCTTATCATGCTCGTAATATTAATCCTACATGATGAATGTTTAATTAATATGTTTAATAACAATTGCATAGTTTCAAATGAGTTTGCGATTCTTTTCCATATCAGGTGTAAATAAAGAATGGTGCTTCACTTGTGAGTTTGAAAGTTTAATTTTGAAGGCAAAGGAAGGGAAATCTCCACTTTCTCCTATCGGTATACTCTCTCAGCTGCACAACATTGGAAGTCAGCTGGGTAGTGGAAGGGAAGAAGATGCACATGAATTCCTAAGGTGAGATGTTTGTGAGCATGCGGCCCACAAGGAAAATGCATTTTCCATGTTTTTATGATTTCATTTTTTAGAGAATTTCATACAAGATCAGTGAAATGATTTTACAGGTATGCTATTGATACAATGCAATCTGTTTGCCTTAAAGAAGCTGGGGTGAATGTATTAGGTTCCCTTGAGGAAGAAACCACTCTCATAGGTCTTACTTTTGGAGGTTACCTTCGCTCAAAGGTGAAACCTTTTGAAGATTATGACATTAAGAGATTTATACTCCTTTTGTTTCTTTATCTCTCTTTATTAGTCCTAATGATTATTGCATCAAAGTGACCCAATTATTGGAAAAACTCCATGATGGAATTTATGTTATGAACATAATTGGAAAACAGATAAAATGCATGAAGTGCCATTACAAGTCAGAGCGGCATGAAAGAATGATGGATCTTACTGTTGAAATAGAAGGGGATATAGGGAAGCTTGAAGATGCACTTAAACGATTCACGAGTACTGAACTTCTTGATGGAGACAACAAATATCAATGCAGCAGGTTGGTCAGGTTATCTTTTCCAATGAAATTTGTCTTCAATTAGTATTATTTTTATGCTTCTTGGACAATCTCAGTTGATTTCTCATCTTATTATATCAGTTCAAAGTCTTAGTGGCTAATGGTTTTTTCTTGTAGAGGTATTCTCTCTTGAGAAGGGAGGTTTTGGGTTTTAGCTTTGTAATTGGGGTATGGCTGGGGGGAGTGGGGGCAGCTTAGAGTTTATCCTTTTTTTGTTAAAATGATTCTTCATTTTTATACATAATATGCTGACGTGTCCTTTCTACTAAAATTTTACAGCACAACAGAATGTCAGAAACTTAATTTATATAACAAGTAATTGAGGACAGAATATGATGATATGTAAGGTGCTTGATACCTGGTTCTACTGTGTCTTGTGCTTCAAAACTTCTTGCTAAGTGTAATGATACTTCTAATAAAATTCTAAGCTTGGTTAAATTGGCATAATAATCCGAAAAAAATCATGATTAGATGTACTAGCACATGTTGCCATTTTATAATGTATTGCAGAAGTATGCACATTTCTTCTTTAGTTGTAAGAGATGTATGTATTCCATGTAAACTCTCTTTTTTTTGAATTTTGTTTTACTTTGTCTATTACAATACATGTAGCAGAATTTGGGTAACAAATGATGATTGTCAAGCCATTCCCTTTCATAATTTTTAACAGGTTCTTTGTTTTCTAGGAATTATTGGCTTTGAATGTATTTGACTTCTATGTCATTATGGTTCTATTCAGATGCAAATCTTTTGAGAAGGCCAAGAAAAAGTTGACAATAGTGGAGGCACCCAATGTACTTACAATTGTGTTGAAGCGCTTTCAGGTAACTATTATAGAATATTTTCTCCTGTATTATTGGAAAATTTTCTCATTTCCTTGCTGTGCTAACTTTACAGTCAGGTAAATTTGGAAAGCTCAATAAGTCCATTCGATTCCCAGAGATCCTGGATTTAGCACCATATATTAGTGGCACAAGTGACAAATCACCCATATACAGGCTTTATGGGGTGGTTGTTCATTTGGATATCATGAATGCTTCATTTTCTGGGCACTACGTGTGCTACATAAAAAATATCCAGAATAAGTGGTTCAAGATTGATGATAGTACGGTATGTTTATTTATAGATTATACATTGACAAACTTTTGCATGCACTTGCTAAACTTTTTCTTTCTATTTCACTGAATTAATGTGATTATACATTTGGACCCTAGCACTGATTTGACTTATTCTGTTGCCTGAAATATCCAGTTCCAACTGCCAAAGTTTAACTGTATCTTGATCATCGATGCCTAATGAGAATTTTTAAGTGAACTTTATGCTCTAGGATATATTAGAAACAAATAGAATCGCGATCCCCCTGAGGTTTGGTTTGACACCTTATAGCTATTTAGTTCTTGGAAATTCAAAAAATTAATTAACATCATCACATCATCAGGATGAAACTTTGATGATCATGAGATGGAGATAAGGCATATGTGGTGGAAAAGATAAGTGAGTTGTTGATAGAAAGAGAGCTATGGAAGGTTAGAATTTGCATCCGTCATGTGTAGGAATCTAGATGAATCAAAAAACCAATGTGGGATGAGCCTTGAGAATCGGATCATGAGTAACTTAAATCAGTGGAGGAGACCATGATTGTTTTTGTAGAGTGATGAGGGATGGTGATGACAGAGGTGGCAGTAATAACTATTTGATGAGTTTGATTTCTTTGCCTTTTGATGACAGAGCTCAGGTGGAATCTATGGTATTTGTGGGTGGTGCTCGTTATCTGTGATGTCTATGAGGATTGTGGTTGGGTTGAATTCTGCAACAGTGTTCATTGTGGTGTGATGGTAGAATGATGGTGGAATTGGGTGAGGGAGATGCTCAAACTGTGATGTCTTGAGGCATGTACTTCATAATTTAATTCTGCTTCAGAATCTAATGAATGAAGTGGGGACATGGGGATAAAATTGATTACCTCATTTCAAGGAATCACATTTGCTTCCTACGAAAGGAGCATTCAGGCTTTTTGGCCCAACAAAAAGGTTTCTCTCTAAGGGATGCCTACTTGTGTTTTATCCCATAAATTTTCCAGGAGCGCAGCTGCTTGTTCAGCTAGTGGACCTTTGGTGTGCCTATGGTTTGTGATATCTGTACGGGAGTTTGACCATCTTTTTTGGTGCACACAAATTCTTACACGAGAGCAGAAATAGAAGACGAGAAAGAGAGAGGGGTGGGGGTGGGTTTGCAAGGGGCCTAGAGAGAACCCTTAGCCTCTTGCGCTATGAGATGGTCAGTCTACAACTAGGCTACTAGCCAGTGGCTGAGCTCGAGTTAACCTATTCTGTTTCCCTGTTCAAAGTAGACATGTTCAGAATCCTGTCATAGAATCAATATATACATGAATGTATTTGGTTGGTCTCCCTCAGTCCCAGCTCCGACAAGTGACTTAGGGCCATAAGATATACAGTTTAAGATTTGTTAACAAAATTTCTTTTCTCATTTGCTTTCTTTGTTTTATATATTTTATGCACTGTAGCAACATTTAAATAAGCTTCATGTCATTTCTCCTAACTAATTCTTTGTATCATGTTGGCCATTGTTGAATAGGTAACAGCTGTGGATCTCGACAGAGTCTTAACAAAAGGAGCATACATGCTACTTTATGCAAGGTGACCAGTCTCAGGAGCTCAATTTGTAGAATGAATATAAGTTGTTGCTTTGATGTTTTTGACCAACTACTTCTATTTCAGGTGCTCACCAAGGGCTCCAAGATTGATAAGGAACAGTTTAGTGTCTCGTGAACTAAAAACAAAAGGCACTTCAAAACTCAATGCAAAGAATACTGCATTGAATTCAAGATCCACATCCAGTCACTCAAGTATCGTTCGCTTAAATCCAAATTCTAATTCTCCTGATAGTTTGGCCAGTGTTGAATCTTTCTATTTGAAGTTCAACCGGCTTCAAAAAATTTTAGAAGAGGACTCCTCAAGTGACAATTATTCTTTTACTAGCAGCAACTCGGATGAGGGTTCATGCAGTACTGAGAGCACCCGAGATTCTACAAGTACTGATGAGCTTTCTGATTACATTTTTGGTGGTTGGAACAACTCTTGGAGGAACACTTCTGATTCTGACACTTCATCGTCATCCTCTTCCCCCTTGTACTCGAGGTACTCACCAGAGATGAGCAGGCTGGCGGTGGCAGAAGGCGAATGGAATAGCAGGCTAGTGGATGTGGAAATCAGGGATAGTGATCCTTTTTTCCATTCTGACACGAGTAAACAATTTAGAAAGTTAGGGAATAGTAGTAGTTGTAGGGAGACTGACTCGGCAAAATTAGGACGGGTTAACCCTGTAAAATCTGGTGTATCCTTTAGAAGATCAGTAAGTGAAAGAACAAGTTAAAACATTTTTCTGTCAAGTAATTTAAGTTAGGGGCGTAAATAAAAGTTGGGAAGAGGGAGATCTGTATTTAATGTTACTGTTGTAGCTGGCCTTGTTCAAAGAAATGAGCCACCCCATTTTGTCAAATTCTTTCCCTTTTCCCTTATGAAGATGAGTTGTTCTCATAGTGTATAGTTCAAACTGAAAAGGGACTTTTTCATAAATGAGTCCCTAAAGGGGTTCTTTTAACCCACTCAATTGTTTACTTCAGATCATGAATAATTATAAGTTTATGTTGCTTTGCACAGTTTCATATCTTTTTGAAAATTTAAATTTGTGTTGTAGGGCTATACTCGATATTTGCAATTTTTTCTTTTTTCTTTTTTTTTTTTTTAATGTTCTGGGCTCAACAATTCCATTCTTGGACTTGATTGGCCCAGAAAGTATTGGATCCAATTAGGGACTTGATTATGAGCCCACTCTAACGTGATAATTGGATCTTTCTAATCTATAAATGTTACACAAACTCAAGTTGTCAAAGCATTGAGGATCAATGAAATTAGTGAAAAAAATTTTTTTAATAAATTAGACATGGATAAGAAAAGATAGAGAAGCTTTCGTTTTCTTGGATAGCAGGATAAAGAAGGTTATCGAAAGCCATTTTTTCGCACTTGAAAGGCCCACTAAAACAAATATCCTAATAAGAAAACCAATTATACCAATTTGACCGCATGGATTGTAATAGTTTGAAAAAAACAGTACAATCTCTTTCAGTTTAGGATAACGAAAAAGAGAGAAAATATTAGTGGTGAGAAATTTTCATTTTAGATTGGGCAAATTATTTAGTCCCTCAAATTTAATTATAATTATAATTATAAATTTCATCTATCTTATTTGATAAATACATCTTTTAGTTATTAAACTTTAGCTCTATTAAACTATTTGCTCCTTCATTTCAAAAGTGTCTATTAAGTAAGAAAATGAATAATAATAATTATAAATATGAGAGGCTAAATAGTAATATTATGTTAAACGTGAATTATTAAGTCAAATATTATATATCAAACTTCTAAAATGAATTTTTTTTTTTAAAAAGAAAGGATTAAATAAATTTACGGGTTAAAAATGAATGATTAATCATAGGGATGTTGTTGTAATTAATGGTCAAATTTATGGATTAAATAGTCATTTACTTTTAAGGATAACGAAAGAGAGAAAATTGTAGTAGTAAGAAACAAGATAAAGCCAAATTGGAGAGGACCAGAATACCACGTGGGGTAGGAAGACTGGTTCAACCACCGCCTACCAAACTCGACACTACCACCTCTATGCCCATAACCAATTGGCCAACTCTCTCTCTCGGTCATAATTATTTTTTAATCCTTAATGTTTAAATTTTTAGTTTTTGTGTAAAAGTATTAAGAGATCTTTAATAAAAAATTCAAATTAATTATTTATCTGCTTTCAATTCACATAGCTAGACTCGAATTTAGTTTAATGACATAAGTAAAATAATCTTTTATATTGAATTAAACTAAACTCAATTTTTGTAAATAAAAACTTTATCCGATCCTATTTTAAATCTTAACAATAAAAAATAACTTAAAAATTATTGCATATTTCAAAATAATTAAAATAAAATATTAAATAATTTTTTAACAAATAAAAATGAATTACAGTTCCTAGGAAAAAAATAAGAGGAAATAATTTTAAAAATATCAATGCTAATTTGAACTTTAAGTTAAGGAATTAATAGATTATATTAAAATTTAAAAGATTCAAATGATATTAAGTCTCTTTTTTTTTTTTTTTTTTTTTTTTAAAATTTTAAAGCTCAAATGATATTAGTCTCTTTTTTTTTTTTTTTGCTTAATGAAATTTTTATAGGTTATTAAGAAAATTAGTTTGTTTGTGAAAAAAAAAAACGTTATGAATTATTAATTTATTTTTTCTAAACATAAAATTATTAATTAGATTAACTTTTAGATTTGTAAGACCAAGAAAGGGGCGTTGAATTGATTTTTTTTTTTTTTTTTTTAGGGAGATTAATGGAAAGTAATTGACTTTCCAGTTTCCAATTTTTTTTTTTTTTTTTTAGGGAGATTTAATGGAAAGTAATTGACTTTCCAGTTTCCACATTATTAATTTATTACAAGCTGTCTGCCACAGTACTTATACTGCTACTTAGTTAGAAGTTAGGACATTTCTCTAGTTTCAACTGTTGAATAATGACTTATCAGGGCCGTACACGTGTACTTAATTCTTTCGTTCTCAAACCCACGTTCGTTTCTCGACCCATACTAGTGGTTTTCTTTTCTCATACACCTTCCATAGCATCCGGTTTTTGAACAAAGTCATTTCTATGGATTAGACTACACATAACAATACCCACGCTTCTAAATTCTTCGATAATGCCTTATTGACTAAAATTAATGCCTTGCATTTCTATGTGACTATGCTCGGTTCAAACCCATTCCATATGTTTATCAAGTCAAGTTTAATAACTCGGGAGCCAACTCAATGAGTTCAAAATTAATTAAAGCAAACATCATTTTTCATTCCATAGATTTTGTGGATCTTGACTTGTTTATAATTATTGAGCGGAGGTCTCGTTCATAGGCTGAAACCTTCATTCCTTTAATTTTGGATTTCAGAATCTAAAACCGAGAGTTAAGGGAGTGGAGGACTTCAAACCCCTATCTACTTATTCAACCTTCGCCCTTAAATTCTAGTAATATAACAATATACGCTATATTACAAAATTGTTAAAATCCTTCTTACAAATTAAACAATTTTTTTATGAATATAGTATTACGTAATACTCTTTCTGTTTCAAAATATAAGTCGTTTTTAGTTTGTTATTTTGTTCTAAAGTATAAATTGTTTTATCTATTTTAAGAAATAATAAATAATATTTTTTCAATATTGCCATTGTTTACACTAAATATAATAAATATTTTTACAAGCAACTATTGATTTTAAGATAAAAGATAATTTGGTCAAATTACCCTTGAGTTTATTATAATCTAAGAGAATTGTTTCTTTAATCCTTATGTAAAAACCTTAAACGACCTATATTTTGAAACAGAGAGGATGAATAGATTATAGAATCATATTCATTAAAAGAATTCAATTTTTATCTTGCAAAAACTATGGTTGTTAGATAAACTTTGTTGAAATAAAAATAAAAAATGATTACTACTCATAAAAATTAACTAATACTCTCTTTGTCCCAAATATAAATCGTTTAAGGTTTTTGATCAAGAATTAAGGAAGTAATTAACTCTACTAGATTATAATAAAACTAACGGTAATTTGACTAAATTATACTTTATTTCAAAATCAATAGTTACTTATGAAAGTATTTTTTGTATCTAATGTAAATAAGAGTAACATTGAAAAAATATCATTTATTACTCATTAAAATACTCAAAACTACTTATATTACAACATAATCACTTTAAAATAACTTATATTTTGTGAGAGATGGAGTAATAAATTTACTCTCATGTAGTATTGATTTATAAATTCCATTTAAAGTAAATTTTATGAGGTAAATAGTTAATGACAACATCTATAGGTATCTTCAAAATGGGCTCCATTAGTTAGCAAATTAAGCAATATGCATGGCTTTTACAGCAAGAATTGTTAATTAGTAGTAATTAATCAAAGTGGAAACAGAAGAAAGACACAGAACAAAAATGGCATCCAGATCACTATATCTCCTCACCGACACGTCACCTACCACTCAGTAGCCGACGAAGACAAGTTTCTATGCCATCTGCAGAATGCAATGCACTTGCTACTCTTTTTGTATATGCAAAAGTCTATCTCTCACACCCAACTTCACTTCAATGCCTTATAGCAAAGAAAGAATCCTTTCTTTTCCTTTCTTTTCTTTTTTTCTTTTTTTTTTTCTTGGTTTTAAGTAACTTTTCAACATTTAACATCGATTTCGGTTTTCACCGATTTAATATCTTATAAGAATCAATACGTCTAATCGCTTGTCTTAAGTTCAAATTTCAAAATAATACTTTTGAATTATTATACTCCTTGAATAATTTTGTATATATATATATTCTCAAATTGATCTTTTTCTCATACTGTTCATTCGATTTTTAAAAGTGGAGTCCTGAAAAAAAAAAAAAGGAGTAAGAAAGAAGATTTGCACTGTTATGTAATTTAAAGTGTCGATCAATGAATGCTTTGAAAAAGTTATGCTTTAATCATCCATTACTATGTGTGAAAGAGGCGACTAATATATACAGATTTATGAATTTACAATTGCATGCATTTGTAGATTAATTTCTAAGTAGCTTTTTCCAAAGCATGCATATATTATTGAATAAAGAAAATTAAGGTAAAAAGCCATGTAAAATAGACCGGACCACAGAGAATCCCTCGAGTCTAGGAGATGTCCAACAAAGCAGGAACAGACAACGATACATAATTATATATTAATGTATGCAATGTCTAGAAATCTTTTATACAATCAATGTCAATCTATATCTCTTCTTTCGGCCGCACGGTAAAATGGTGGCTTTGTATGTGTTTTCCTTCTACTTGAAAGTTAGCCATCTTTAACATCTTTAAGTCTCTCTCTCTCTTTAATTATATATATATATAATGTAAATTTCACATCATCTTACAATAGTATAATATACGACCATTAATTTAATATATCCAAACAGACCGAAATACTTTTACTAATAAATTTTTGCATTTATATATATCCTTTGAACATTAGTATGAATTTTGAATAAAATGTAATAAAAGATTTATACATCCGATCTCAACTAATTTGAAATTAAAATAGAGTATTTTTGGATGATTTTTTTATATAATTTCCAACAACTTATTATAAAAGAAGAGCAAAAACACAGTAAAGAGGAAGGATTGCATCATGCATGGTGTTAGGTGATATTTATTGATAAAGGTTTTGAATAATGCACTGTACTTGAAAGAGTTTGGTGTATATATATATGTGGCCCTGTCTCACAAATTCAACATTCCCATGAAGGTATAATGTAGATCAACACTAAATTTTCTTGACTTGGAGTTTAGTCCTTGATTCTTTGGTTGGTAGAAAATCTATGTGGACCCCTTGGCCCACTTGCTATTCTCAAAATGAGTTACCATTCCTTTTATTTTCAAGATTTTTACCAATAAAATCTTAATTCTTTGTTACATATATAAAACTTCTTTCAATTTATTTTTTGTGTAAGAAAGAATTAATTATGTAAATTAATTATTTTTATTATCGGTAGCAGTCTCAATTCAATGGTTCTGTACTCAAATATGCATAATGGATTTTTTTTCAAAAAAAAAAAAAAAAAAAAAATGGATTTTTTTCAAAAAAAAAAAAAAAAAAAAAAATACAAAATTGGTCAATGATGTCCCCATCTTCACCAATCACATGATATTGGAATTGGCACAACGAAACCACCATAACAATGCCCATACTTCAAACATATATGCAATGTTGCAAGACATGTCCTTCCATGCATTTCTTTCTAGTTAAAGCGATATTATTTAATATAATATATTTCTGATTGTCAAATGGTCGGTTATATAAAAAAAAAAAAAAAAAAAAAAAAAATACAAAATTGGTCAATGATGTCCCCATCTTCACCAATCACATGATATTGGAATTGGCACAACGAAACCACCATAACAATGCCCATACTCAACATATATGCAATGTTTGAAGACATGTTCCTTCCATGCATTCTTTCTAGTAAAGCGATATTATTTAATATAATATATTTCTGATTGTCAAATGGGTCGGTTATATATATATGAAATATTCTTTTTAAACCAATTAGTATTAGAAGTATATTGATCCGACTAATTCGGATTCAATAGATAGGTTCATAAATGGATAAAGTATTTTTTACTAAATTTTAAAAAAGTATTTCATACCCAAAATTCAAATTCAATACTTCTGTTTTAAGGAGAATATACCGTTGTCATCTATCTCGTCTACTGATAGTATTTATGAAATATTATTCAATGACACATTAACTGTAGTATTTGATGGATAAAGTTTAATAAAATGATAACCAAAAAATATTTCGTAACTATGCTTTGAGCAGTTTTACTGACATACTATTGTTAGTTTATGACAGAAACAGCCCAACAACAATTAACTTAGGAAGAAAAAGTTTCCTAATATTTTATACTTACAATGTACAAGAAAATGAGCTTGTTTAATTAAAAAAAAAAAATTAAAGTTTTAAAACATGTGAGATGCTAACGTAAAGTAGTAATTTTAATTTCAAAACTACTTATTTTTTATTGTATGAGTTAAGTTCATTCATCGGTAGGAAGCAAGTCTTTTCCAAAAAATTAAAACCGCAATGTCAAAAGCTTATGACAGTATATTGTCAACCTTCCTTTTTTCTTTCTAGCCAACCAAACAATTCACAACATCTAATACAATAAAAATAAAAAATAAAAACAAAATAATGCAAGATGAGGTAAAAAGCAAAGAAAAATAGAGTTGGTGGACAGGATGGTTGCAATTGGAAAATCAAAGAAAAAAATTGGGAAGCAAAGTCAATTGTGAACAACTAGAGATATGATTAGGTCTAAGCATTGCACCAAAGAAAAAATGGGCAAAGGGTTTCTAATTTCAAGTAATGGGTTAATTAAGAAGAACAAACCCACAAACTTGTAATTATTATGATCTGCTCATTATTAACTCAACCCTTCATAATAACAACGTTGCTGCTATGATAATATTTATTTTATACACATGATCACAAATTATATTTTTGAACAACACTACCAAAGAAAGTGTCAATTTAGGGCAAAGAATGGTCAAGAATAGGTGGCGCCATTGTATAAAAGAAATATTTCAGTTGTTAAAATTTAAGATTTTCATTAGGAGGTTTTGATTTTCAAATATGAATCTCAACCCGAATGAATAAGACAAGTAAGTAATAACAATTTACAAAATTCGTTAAATGCTGAAAGAAAGACGATTGAAACTGGATTTGCACGAAGAAAGAACAAGAAGTAGCAAGAGTTCAGGAGTCCAAGTGTCAAGAATACAATAGTTGTCTTATTAGTAGGAGAGAAGACAGGGTTATACATCTAATGGAAGCAAGCTATAAATCCTCAAACATAGGGACCATCGTATTGTTCATGTTAGCACATTTTCAAAAGCTTGCAATTTTGATAGCTCACCCTCGCAAATTTAGATTTCACTTAGCTGATTTTTAGTAAATTTGTTATAACTTCGCAATCAGGAACTATGTGCTGCACTTCTTTTCCTTTTTTCACTAAATCGCTATTTTTTTTTCTTCTCGGTAAGCAACTACCTTCATTTATATATTCCAGCTTTCAAGACATACATTCTATTAATAAATCTGAGCATTAAAAAAATGTTTTAGTAAAATTAATAAATTAATTAAGGGACAATTCTGTTAAATTTAAATTCATATCGAATTAAATATTTTTTTTTATTAAATCAATGAGTTGTTTTTTTAATGTTTTAACAAGTATGACCGTTCATTGAAGCATCAATTAAGGGTGTTTTTTTATTTATTTTTTATTTTTTATATCAATGAGTGTCAATTTAGTAGTAATTATATATTAATCAATTAAAAAAAATTATCAGATTAATATCTTAATACATGTACTGATATAAATAATCGATAGAATGTTCCTTTGAATTACAATTATTCTACAGCCTCGTTCGTTGAACACTTGCAAGTACCAAAAATTAGATTACAGAATTTCTTAGTGAAAAATACAATAGACAACGGCAATTTAATTTCAAATCCCCATACGATGAACAAAATATGAGATCATAAATCAATCAGTTACCGCTAAGAAAATGAAGCAATTTGCATCCACTGTCATGATATTTGTATTTTAGCAAATATTTTCTCATCTAAAGTTTCAAATATATACAATTTGCAACCGTTATTAATTTGGTGGTAAGAGAAAAACACTGTACAGCTAAAGAATCAAAAGCATTGCAAAAATATATAAACCCTATCTTTGTTTCCATTATGTTTGAAAGAAAGAAAGAAGAGGAGAAGAAAAGACAAAGGAAAGTACAGATTGGATCAGAGATATAAAGAATAAAAGATAGAAGAGAAAAATTTAAAGTGATGGTTTTGGAAGAGAGCTTTCAAGAAGGCATTGGATAAAGGAAGAAAGAAAAAAAAAAAAGAAAGAAAGAAAGAAAACAAGCATCTCTCTCTCTTCAGTGTGTCTGAAAAGAAAACTGGCAAGCATAACCCTAGCCACGTTCTTTTACTGCCATACGCTTTATCCAAATCAAGAAGGCTAAGCTAAGCAAACAGCAAAATTTCAAGAATCTGCATTATCTTTCTGTGTGGTGCAACTGTAGCTGCTGCTGGCAGAGCAGGAACCAGAACCACACCTCACCCCTCACCCTTATGCCTATCAATTTCTCAAACTTCAAAGCAATAGCCCATCACGCAATAATCCACTGGGTAATAACCCATCCCTACAAATACACAGACAAATGCTGATTTTGACACCCTCCATTAATAAAACGTCAGAACCAGTTCAGCTCATGACCTTTCTTGTCAATAAATATTTCAATTCTAGCTTAAACAACATAAAAATAAATAATTTCTTTTTTCTAAAAAGAGGAGGAAGCTACACTGTTTTTCTTAGCTAAAATCACTACTGCATTACATTAACATGAAAGAGGAAATTCAATTAAACAGAAGTGATGATATGATATGATGATAATGAACATCGAAGGAAACACCTAATTTTTTAAAAAAAAAGTTAAAAAAAAAAAAGCAAAAATACCCTCTTCAAATTCACAGTGACTAGTGAGTAACTTTAATAAGGCGGTGGAGGCGGTGGTGGCCTTGCAGTGGGTGCCCAGATAACCTCAGAAGGCAAATGACAACTGTACATAACCATTCCACAAGAATCTCCTCCGCCACCACCTTGAGTATGTCCACTATCTCCTCCGCCTCCACCGGCACCAGACACAGCCGGTGAGCTACCTTCACCACCACCACCACCACCAGAACCAGAATTTCTCCCTTCTTCGTCAGCCGGTAATCGGTGATGACTCGGATTATTCAACGTCGCTGCCACAACATACACCGTACCAGCCGCTACCAAACTACCAGCAACTAGACCACCTACGATCTGGCCCTGAGGACCCGCCAGAGAAATAGTGAAAGTATTAGGCACTGGATACGACACCGTCTGAGGCATAAAAGTAGCTGAGATCGATAAAATATCAAATCTGCCATGAAAGGTAATAGTAGACCCCGGAGTCGTCGACGGTTGACGTAGAGTGACATTCGCGACGGTACCAGATCCTGTAAGGACACAGATTCCAATATTCTTACGGCGACAAAAGCGAGAAATAGCTTCAACGACGTCGCTTCCACCAGGAACTTCAAGAATGTAAGGACTCATAGCAGGTTCAGGATCACGCGTAATAATAACAGGCGGTTTAGGTTTATTCTTAGAACCAGGCGGTCTACCTCTAGGCCGGCGAACAACTTCAATGGTAGCACCATCAGTACCGCCGCTACTATTAGGTTCAATCGGTTTCTGTTTCTGGGTGGGGGTGATGGCGGCGGCAGCAGCAGCAGCAGCGGTGGAGGGGGTGGTTACAGCCGCAGCAGCACCGGTACTTCTAGTATCATCGTCTTCAGAATCACGAGAAAGCGGGAAGTGCTGAGAGAAAGGAAGGTGGTGGTGTTGTTGGTGGTGGTGGTGGTGGTGAGATTGGAGTTTAGAGAACATGTTAAGAGTGTTTTCATGCTTTCCTTGATGATGGTGATGGTGTTGCGCTTCTACATATTCACCTTTCATATCTTCTAGTGTATTTAAATATCTATTTAGGGTAAGTATGGGTTATGGGTTATGATTGGAGGATTTTTAAAGAGTAACAATATGAGAAAGAAGAGCAAGAAGAAAGAAAAGGGATTTGTTTCGTTTATAGTTGTTATTAAAATGGAGAAAAGAAGAGAAGAGAAGAGAAGAGAAGAGATAGAGATAGAGATAGAAAGAGAGAGAAACAGGGAGAAAAAGAGAAGGTGGGTGAGCTTGGAAACCAAGTAAAGACTAATAGCGCCGCTGGTTGGGGTGGTAAAGTGGGTTCCACACATAACATAGCAAGGAGAAAATTAAGAAAGCGTTTGGCTTTTTGATTCGGCTTTGGTTTTGGTTCTGGTTTTGGACTCTTGGGGTTGGGCTTAGAGTTAGAGACAGATGGGAAGAGTTATATGGAACGCTCCCGACCGAGTGGATTGACAGTGACTCGTTGATGTTGTATCTTTTGGGTTATGGGGGCATGCTCTTTATGTATCTTCTCTCTACTTTCCTTCTCAACTTCTCTCTCTGTCATCATGGAATTCAAAATAGTCTGGCTTTCTTTGCTCTATGAAGATAAGAGAGGTAAAGAGCTCTGAAATGAAATTCAAGCTCACTTACTTTGACAAGAAGATTTCGTTTGCACGTAAAACTGTGGTACCCTATACGAATTTCACGTCCATTAAACACAAGATGCAGTATTGTAGACGGGGATAAGTAAACTTTAAACTACGCGTTTCCAGTTATAAAAGAGTTTTAGGATGTTAATTTCTCGAGGAGCGGATGTGATACTTTAAGCGAATTTTAAATCGACATATTACATCAATACTTATATGTTGAGATGGTTCACGAATAATAAGTCTTTTTGAACCCTTGATTGAAGGGGGAAAAAAAGCTTTAAAAGAAAATCTAAATCTTAAAATCTTGAGCTTTTCTAATCATTTTAGCTTAGCAAGTACATTTTGGTTTTATATAAGTGAAAAGAATTAGTAGAAAATGAAAATTATAAAGTGAGACAAAGCTTGCTCGACCTTTTCCCAATTTAAAACACACAAAATGTGTAAAGTAAATGTCATAGTGGACCCGCATGCATCCTATAACCACACTCCATTCTTCCACTTGCAACCTCTATAGCCTTACCTAGAATATCAACACAGTATCTAGTTGCTGTCTTTATTGTGTTTTGGGAAAAAAAACTGTACTATCTTATCATGTTAGTATCTTTAAAACAAACTTACCCTAAGAAAAGAAAAAAAAAAAAAGCTAAATTATTACCATTTTAATTAAAGTTTTAAAAAATAAAAAATTATAACAAAGACAATAACATCAAATTTGATGCTACATCGTGTTAAAATAGAACATAATATTAGTGGAAGTGAACTGCGATTGGTTAATGTATTATTATGTTGATCAATGAAGTCTTAATTTTAACGGCTAAAATGGAGGTCAAGATCAATAAATCATGAGTTCAATTTTATGTTGATATATAATATAATCTGTACATGCAGTAAGCGATTGAATTAGTAAAAATAAGCAAATTTAATAGGCGAAACAAACAAATATAGAACAAAGGATGCGAAGAAGAAGTGTAGAAGCAAAAGAAAGAAATGGGTAATACTTGATTAACAAGCATGGGAAGGAGCTTTTTGTTGGTTTAAAGCAAAACTACCAAATTGGGTAATAAAAAAGCCAACACAGAATATGCTTTAACATCAGAAGCCGAAAGTGAAATCTATGCATGAAATGAATTGGCCTTCAGTTCATACTTAGATGCGACGATAAAGTAAAGGTAAATGTCCCAAACAATCCTCAAACTCTCCCAAAATCAAACTTCAATCCTCTCCTTTTCAGAAAATGTGTATGGTCCCATACAAGAATATTTTATTATTTTTATTTTTATTTTAAAATTAAAATTAAAATTTTTTATTATTTTTACCAAAATTATAATGAATTGATCTTAGAATCAAAAGTTTATGTCCTAAATTGATCTAAATATAATTTTAGGTAAATTGAACATTTATTCATCGTTCTATTAGTATAACCACCACGACAATATATAATCACTTGACATAACTAAGAAATTCAAATCTTGACAATATTACAAATTATGGTTCCTTCATTCAAATGTTAAGAACCCACTATTTAGGAAGCCGGATTATATAAATGTTTTTTTTATCAGTAATATATATATTTATCTTTTTAATTTATATCTAGAAAAAACTTAACATTTTTAAATTTTTAAATCCGAACCATCAGGTTCTCCAAATACACTCAACCTATTTAAAAAATACTAAGTAAAAAGATCCGAAAAATCTCAACTTACATAAGATTGATCTCTTCTTGAGATGAGAAGATAAAAAATATTTTCAAATCACAAAATTGAAACAACCTAACGAATCAAAACCAAGCTAAAAAATCATTAAACGCTTCAACATCCTTCTTCACCAAAGAATCTGCAAAGCAATTTTGTTCTATAAAATCAAGCTGGAATTGTATATGCGACAGGTGTCGATAAAGGACATAAAATCTATTGAAAATACTATCATTTTTAAGGTCTTTTTTTCCTTACATGATACCCAACAAATCGCATTATTTGTATCAGATTCAACAATTAGAGGACAATCCTTTAAATGAGACAGTAAAAACAACTCAACGGCCCTGATAATAGCATATGATTCTACTTTATTTGAATCGATAATAGCTGCTGAGCAACTCACCTCACCCTTAAGGTATTTAATTCAAAAGAATTTAATTTTGTAAACTCTCATATTTGGAAATGAGATAATTTATGGAAAAAAAAAATTGAAGTAATAGAAGTTATGTCATCAATTTGACGTTGAAAAAAATAAATTTTGAATTACATGTATCATAATTTCTGAAATTGTAAAATTATTGGTTGTATATAAATAAATAATAAATTAAATTAAATCATTAAAGATGAGGTTTCCAGAACCGTGAATGAACAATGAAGAAAGCCAGCTTCTTTATTATTACCATTTGGGCGTTGTCAAATTAGTTGACATCACCCACATTTCCTCAATCAGTTAATTCAGATTGGCATAAGAGTCCAAATTGGTGGGTAAGAAAATAAATCCTTTTTCCATTTCTATAACTAAAGAAAAAAAAAAAAGGTAGTAAATGATAATCATTTTTAAGCTTTAGCAATTATGATTTAACACGTGTTATTTGTGAACTCAAAAGTATATGCCAGATTCCAATAGGAAAAATTACAGCACAACATCTGTGTTTCGTGAAATATAATTAGTAATATATCTGTGTTTTTAAAAATATATAAATTTGTTCGTATATTTTGTTTTTATTACATTAGTAGATCATTCTGTTCAACTTTTTGTATCTCTTTCATTTATTCAACAAAAAAAAAAAAAAAAAAAAAACCATTTCTATAACTAAAAGAGAAAAAAAAAAAAATAGGTAAGTAAAAATGATAATCATTTTTAAGCTTTAGCAATTATGATTTAACAGGAACGTTGGTTATTTGTTGAACTCAATTAGTATATTGCCAGATTCCTATATTAGGAAAAATTACAGCACAAAACATCTTGTGTTTCGTGAAATATAATTGTAACCTATATCTTTGTGTTTTTAAAAATATATAATTTGTTACGTATATTTTTGTTTTTATTACTATTAGTAGATTCATTTCTGTCAACTTTTTGTATCTCTTTCATATTATTCAACAAAAAAAAAAAAAAAAAAAAAAACACAAAGATCAAGTGAGAGATACTAAAAATTTATATCTAAATAATTTACAATATGGATCTCTGTAGTTTGAGAAGTAAATAACTAGTGTGATCTCATGTTTAAAAATATAACAAAAAGCTGGATTAAGAGATAAAATTAAATTAATATTTCGTCTGTTACATTAACAACTTAACAGAAAAGATTTAAAATTGAACGGAAGAGAATTATTATCGTTCTGATGAAGTACTATAGATTTTAGTCTATTTTTTACTAATAATAGACTAGTTTATTTTTATATACACGGAATCATACTGTAATTTTCTTATACTATGATTATTTAATTTATTTTAAATTATCAAAACTTAAAATTGCCTTGTCAATTAAAGAATGTAAATCCTTTAAAGTAAAAAAAAAAAAAAAAAAAAAAACACAAAGATCAAGTGAGAGATACTAAAAATTTATATCTAAATAATTACAATATGATCTCTGTAGTTTGAGAAGTATAACTAGTGTGTCTCATGTTTTTAAAAATATACCAAAAGTGATAAGAGATAAAATAAATATTTTTCGTTGTTTCATAAAACACTTAACAGAAAAGATATAAAAATTGAACGGAAGGATATTATCGTCTGATGGAAGTAAACTATAAGGAAATTTTAGTCTATTTTCTAAAACATAAAAATAGACTAGTTATATTTCTTAAATCACAAGGATCATACTGTAATTTTTCTTATTCTAATGATATTTATTTATTTTAATTTTCAAAACTTAAATTGCTTGTCAATTAAGAATGTAAATCCTTTTAAAAGTAAAGCAAGAGATTTTATTCCTAGGCAATTAATGGCAAAGAGTGAAAAATTGCAAGTTTAAAGCAACATTAACAAAGGCAAGCATTTGGATTTAATTTTATTAGGATTAGGAATCTTTTTTAGTCATTTCAGTGGGAAAGCAAAAGTAAAATTTACTTTGTAATGGTAAAATTTCCTTGGTTAATGTGAAGGCCATTTATGGGATATAGTTAATCTTAATCATCATCATTTAGAAAGCTTTTTGCTAAATTATGAGTGCCCACTTGGCAATTTGCTTTGCTTATTATGGTATTAATGAGTAATCAATGTTTTTCACTAGCTTATATAGATTTCTAATCATAGTTGGCAATTACCACAATAAATTACCACTTCCAATTCAACATGTTGATAATGATATGATATGTTAATAATGATATTTCATGATAATTCTAGAAAGGGTAATTTAATGTTCGACCGCACTTATTAATTCTAAAGATACATTCTCTGCCCTAAAATATAAGTCGTTTGAAAGTTTTAAGAAAACAATTAATTCTCCTAAATCATAATAAATTTCAAATTATCATTTATCTCAAAACTAATAATTACTTATGAAAACATTTATTGTATTTAATTTAAACAATGGTAACATTCAAAAAATAATTATTGATTCGAACCGATGACCTTAGGTTACAAATGGAGTAACTTTTGGTTTATTATCAGTATATCAAAGTATATATATCATATAATAACAATTTCGGGGTTCAAGATATCAAAAAATTGCTTGTAAATTTCAACTTTTAATCAATTCCATAATAGATTATACGGAATATCCTAAAAATATATGAATTTCGAAAAGGGTTGATGTATTGGCTCAAACATGTAATCTACATGTCACAAATCAAGTAAGTTTACTATTAAACTAAATTCTCCTAATCACATAATAGATTCTAACGGGAAAAAAAATTAAATAATAAATAAAAAAATACATAAAGAACTCTTACCTTGTAA